TAAAAAGTTATCGAAAACTCAAAAAGAATTCCAGGATAAAATGTCCGGTTCAGGACCTCGACAGCCTCCTTAGTAGCAGGTGGAAAGGAGTGACAGAGTTGGCCATCATCTGCGTACAGATGACACCGCACCCCGAAACTCCGGATGATCTCACCCAGCGGTTTCATGTAGATGTTAAACAGCATGGGGGACAGTATGGAACCCTGTGGCACCCCACAAGACAAAGGTTGTGGAGCGGAACAGGAGTCCCCCAATGACACCTTCTGAGTGCGACCCTCCAGAAATGACCGGAGCCACTGCAAAGCAATGCCCCCAAGACCCATTTCCGCAAGGCGCCCCAGAAGGATACCGTGGTCGACGGTATCGAAAGCCGCTGAGAGGTCCAGGAGCACCAACAGGGACACACTCCCCCTGTCTAGCTCCCGGCGCAGATCATCCACTAAGGCGACCAAGACCGTCTCGGTACCATGCCCCGGTCTGAAACCAGACTGTGCCGGATCCAGACTATCCGTGTCTCTCAAGAATACCTGGAGTTGTGCGGCCACCACGCTTTCCATGACTTTGCCCAAAAAGGGGAGATTGGAAACAGGCCGAAAGTTGTCCAATTTAGTGGGGTCCAATGATGGCTTCTTCAACAGCGGCTTTATAATAGCCTGTTTTAGGCTCGCTGGAATCTTGCCTTCCCGAAGGGAGGCATTAACCACCACCGTTACCCACTCAGCCAATCCCCCTCTGGCCTCCTTCAGAAGCCAGGATGGGCAGGGGTCTAGGATGGACGTGGTGGGCCTCATTCCTCCAAGTATCTTGTCCACATCCTCGGGTTTCACAAACTGAAAAGAATCCAACAAAATAGGACAAGCAGGTGCTCTCGTTACATTCTCGGAGTCTGCATCTAACGCGGCGTCGAGCCCAGAACGGATCAAGGCGACTTTGTCTGCGAAGAACCGAGCAAATGCTTCACAGCGTGCGACCGAATTGTCAGGGCTCCCACCTGGAGTGGTGGGAGTTAAAAGACCTCTGACAATCCGAAACAACTCCGCCGGACGGTTCTTTGCAGACGCAATAGTGGCCGCAAAGAAAGTTTTCTTTGCGGTCTTTATTGCCGCGGCATATGCCCTAAGAAAGGACACAAACCGTGTTCGGTTTGACTCGCTTGGATCCGAACGCCACACGCTCTCTAGTTCCCTCTTCCTTCGCTTCATCACTGCCAGCTCCTCAGTAAACCAAGGAGCTGGTTTAGCTCGGCTACTTGAGAGGGGACGTTCCGGAGCAATCATGTCAATAGCCCTGGTCATCTCCCCATTCCAGAGAGCGACCAAGGCCTCAACATGGTCACCTACCGCGGTGGCGGGAAAATCCCCAAGAGCCGTCAGGAAACCATTCGGATCCATCAGTCTCCTGGGGCGGACCATCTTAATGGGTCCTCCACCTTTGCAGAGGCTAGGGGGCGCAGTGAGTCTAAATCTGATCAGGAAGTGGTCGGTCCATGGCAACGGAGAGATGGACAACTCCTCCACACCGCCACCCTGTTCCCATCCCTGACAGAAAACCAAATCCAATGTGTGTCCAGCACAGTGGGTGGGGCCAGATATTTGTTGGGACAGCCCCATGGTTGCCATGGCAGACATGAAGTCCTGAGCCGCGCCTGTGAGGGTCGTCTCGGCATGGACGTTGAAGTCTCCCAGCACAAGAAGCCGTTGAGACTCCAACGCCAGGCTCGAGACCCCCCCCGCTAGCTCAGGTAGGGAGACTGTAGTGCAGCGAGGTGGACGGTACACTACTCAGAATCCCTATACTGTCCCGGTCACCCACCCTCAGGTAGACGCTTTCAAAGTTTGTGGTCTGCGGGATGGGGCACCTGGTCAGATGGATAGAATCCTTATAGATCACTGCGACTCCGCCTCCCCGCCCTCCGGATCTTGGTTGGTGCTGCACGGAGAAACCCGGAGGACAAAGCTGGGTCAGATTTACTCCTCCCGCTTCATCCAACCAGGTCTCCGTGATGCACGCCAGATCTGCCCGCTCATCCAGGATTAAATCCTGGATACAGGTCGTTTTTCCGTTGACAGATCTGGCGTTCAACAGCACCACCTTCCATCCAGAGGGTCCGCTCACCTGGTTACACCAATTTACCTTAGGAGACCGAGTTGGAATTGTTAATATTTTTGATAGCTGGTCCGAATTTTGCCGAATTTGAGGTCTCCTTCTCCCGCATCTCCTCCTTCCCACCACGACCTCTATGGGGGCCCCTCGGCTAGTGGAACACCTCCTCTCCTCCATGCCGCCTATTCCAACTAAGATCTTAATCTCTATTACATCAGATGTTTTAACTATTGGCGTTTTTTCTTGCCACTTACTTTGGTCTTCTTTATCCCCCCTCCCCTCCCCATCGTTCTTCACTAATCCACTTCCTCCCCTGTCTCCACCACCAGACAATACTAACAGGGACAGCAAACACAGGAGGGTGGGGGGCCACATGGATGGAGACAATACACTTCGGTGGATGGAAATACAGATAGTAACACACTCAGCTGCACTATAGGATAGTCCCTATATGGCCATGTTCTAGAGGCATTCTCTCCTGATGCTTCGCCTGCATCTATGGCAGTGTTTCTCAACTTTCTTAATGCTGAGACCCCTTAACACAGTTCCTCATGTTGTGGTGACCCCCAACCATCACATTATTTTCGTTGCTACTTCATAACTGTAATTTTGCTCCTGTTATGAATCGTAATGTAAATATCTGACATGCAGGATGTATTTTCATTCACTGGACCAAATTTGGCACAAATGATATGCCCAAATTTCAATATTGGTGGGCTTGGGGGAGGATTGATTTTGCCATTTTGGAGTTGTAGTTGCTGAGATTTATAGTTAAACTAATAGTCAAAGAGCATTCTGAACTCAACCAACTATGGAACTGAACCAAATTTGGCACACAGAACTCCCATGACCAACAGAAAATATTGGAAGGGTTTGGTGGGCATTGATTTCTGTTTTTGAGTTGTAGTTCACCTACCTCCAGAGAGCACTATGGACAACATTAATGGATCTGGACCAAACTTGGCATGAATACTCAATATGCTCAAAGTTTGGGAAAAATAGACCTTGACATTTGAGAGTTGAAGTTACTGGGATGTATAGTTAATCTACAATCAAAGAGCATTCTGAACCCAGCCCATAAGGGATCTGCACTAAACTCGACATGCTACCTACATGGCCAACACTGATTACTAGTGGGTGGGGGGGGGGCTGTTTTTGAATTCTGGGAGTTGTAGTTCACCAACACAAAAAAAAAAGAGAAGGACAGGCAGAGAGATATTCCCCCTTCTCTGCCAAAAGGGTTCCTAAGACCACTAGAAATATGTGTTTTCTGATGGTCTTTGGTGACACCCCCCCCTGAAACCCTTTCGCGACCCCCTCAGGGGTCCCGACCCCCAGGTTGAGAAACACTGATCTATGGCAAGCATCCTCAGATGCACCCTACTGCTGGCACTAGAACAGGCATGAGCAACTTGGGCCTTCCCTCCAGGTGTTTTGGACTTCAACTCCCACCATTCCTAACAGCCAGCAGTCTGTTAGGAATGGTGGGAGTTGATGTCCAAAACACCTGGAGGGAGGGCCGAAGTTCACCCATGCTGCCTCAAGAAGTTGAACCTGTGAACCATTCTGCACAAGCCAGAAGTAAACACCATTTCAATACTGTATACAAAAGGCTTAAGTTTGATTCCAGACCACAGCTTTCCAGTCATTTCACAGCTGGTGACGCACCCTTGAGACAATGCATCATTTCGCAACACACTAATTTGGGTTTACTACCAAACCGAAGGTTAATAATAATAATTATAATATTGTTCTTGGACTGATTCTGGCAGCCCAAGAACAAGCCAGTAGAACCAATGCCATCAAAACCAGAATTGAAAAGTTGACGACAGATCCCAAATGTAGACTCTTCAAGGAAGCAGATGAAACAATAGTTCGGATCCTCAGCTGCTACCAGAAGATCGCGCAGACAGACTACAAGCAGAGGCACAACACCGTTGCTCAGATGACTCATTGGAACTTGTGCCACAAACACCATCTGCCTGCAACAAAGAACCGATGGGACCACAAGCCAGAAAATTACCACCTGCCAGCTGCAGAAGGCCACCTTGCCGGGATCTGCACACATTATTCGCCAATACATCACACAGTCCTAGACACTTGGGAAGTGTCCGACATGTGATCCAATACAACAGCTAGCAGAGTGTCTGCTGTGGACTCATCTTGTTGTGTTTCAAAATAATAATAATAATAATAATAATAATAATAATAATAATAATAATAATGAACAATTTGGCTTGTTGTGGAAACAAGGACTGGAGATAAAACTTCAGCGGAGACCCCTTTTACTCCTGATAATAACTCTTCCAGGACTGGGTTTCCCTTCCAAGGAGAAGGTTTCTCTTATTTCTTGTTGTCTCACCTGTGTTCTTAACTAGGAGCCTTTGCAAGTCGAGTGTTTGTAACATGGGAACTGCCTGCATTTGGATATTACGAGGTTAAGTGATATCTGTAGATTAAAGTGTCGTAATGCCACGGGCGACGCATTTTGCTCAAATCTCACAAATTGAAGTTTTATCCAAGATATTTTCAGATCACAATCCCATACTGTTAAGAAGGAGAAGGGAAGATACAACCTTCAGATGGAGGTTAAATGAATACATTTTGCAAAATGTGTTGGTTATATAAAAACTAAGAGTCATTTGTAACTTGGGGACTGCCTGTGCACCTTTTTCAAAATACTACAAGATTTGTTGCTTATTTCCCATAGACTCAGAGGCATCTTGTTAGGTTCATGCAACACACTGCACTCAACAGACCGATGTGTCATGAAAGACAGTTTTAGAGGCTGGTGGGAGGTGGCTGGTCTCTCTCCACCCTACTTCTTCCACCCAAAGTCCCACTTTCCCAGATTCCCAGACTTTGCAGGAGCCCCACTCACTCAGTCACTCACTCACCGACGGGAGAGAGCTCGGCCACGCTCCCGATGTAGGGCCCCCCCAGGAAGCGGGGCTCGCTGTCGTTGATGTCCTGCACCTTGATGACGAACTCGGACTCAGGCTCCAGCAGGCGCCCGCTCTGCCTGTCCCGGGCCTGGGCTCGCAGCGTGTAGAAGGTCTTCTGCTCCCGGTCCAGGCGCTCCGTGGCGTGGATGTCCCCCGTCAGCTCATCGATCAGGAAGACCGTGCCGGCCCCCTCCCCGGAGATGGTGTACTTGATGGAGCCGTCCCCCTCGTCCGAGTCTGAGTGGATCTGCAAAAAGGGGGCAGAAACCCAGAGGAATCAGGAGGGAGGGAGAAAGGGGTCGGCGAGGCACCTCTTCCAGCCCAAAAGAAGCAGGAAGACCTTCGGTCCCAAACACATTGGAACTCTGAGAGACCTTGGGCCAGAATGGGACAGAACAACGTTATCTATCTATCTATCTATCTATCTATCTATCTATCTATCTATCTATTTACAACCAGGAGGTGTCTATGGACAATGCAGGCTCCCCGGCTTGGAAATGAAGATACCGTATATACTAGACTATAAGCCGACCCAAATATAAGCCGAGGCACCCAATTTTACCACAAAAAACTGGGAAAACTGACTGACTCGAGTATAAGCCGAGGGTGGGAAATGCAGAAGCTACGGGTAAATTTCAAAATAAAAATAGATACCAATAAAATTACATTAATTGAGACATCAGGAGGTTAAATGTTTTTGAATATTTACATAAAACTGAAATTTAAGATAAGACTCCCCAACTCTGATTAAACCATTACTCTAACCTTCTTCAGTGTAAATGTGCTTCAGTATCCTTCCAAGAATAATAATAAAGAGAGGAAAATCATAAATGTTATAAAAATAAAAATAATAATAGAGTAAAATAAGGGAAACATAATAATAACAGTAATAATAGAGTAAAATAATAAATGTAATAATAACAGCAATAATAACTGTATTGTTGAAGGCTTTCAAAGCCTCCAATGAAGGATCTTCCAGCAGACGCTGAGGCAGAGAGTTCCACTATTGAACAGTTCGTACGGTCAGGAAGTTCTTCCTAATGTTCAGGTGGAATCTCTTTTCATGTCTTGTTGAAGCTTTTCATGGCTGGAATCACTGGGTTGTTGTAGGTTTTTTTGGGCTATATGACCATGTCCTAGTGGCATTCCCTCCTAACGTTTCACCTGCATCTATGGCAAGCATCCTCAGAGGTAGTGAGGTCTGTTTGAACTAGGAAAACTGGGTTTATATATCTGTGGAATGACCAGGGTGGGACAAAGAACTCTTGTCTGTTGGAGTTAGGTGTGAATGTTTCAACTGACCACCTTGATTAGCATTTGATGGCCTGGCACTTCTGCAGGAGTCTACTGTATACCATGCAGCTGTGGACAACTCTACATGGGGACCACCAAACGCAGCAGCATTGCCCAAACACGAATCAAGGAACATGAGAGACACTTCAGACTATGTCAACCAGAGAAGTCAGCCATAGCAGAGCACCTGATGAACCAACCTGGACACAGCAGATTATCTGAGAACACAGAAATGCTGGACCACACCAACAACCACCATGTCAGACTACACAGAGAAGCCATTGAAATCCACAAGCATGTGGACAATTTCAACAGAAAGGGCAAAAGCTGGGTTGCACTTAAACATAAGAAAAACCAAGATTATTGCAACAAGAATGATTGACAACTGGGAAATAGGGGGAGAAAACGTGGAGGCCGTGACAGACTTTGTATTTCTAGGTGCAAAGATGACTGCAGATGCAGACTGTGGCCAGGAAATCAGGAGATGTTTCCTTCTTGGGAGGAGAGCAATGTCCAGTCTTGATAAAATAGTAAAGAGTAGAGACATCAGACTGGCAACCAAGATCCATTGCCTAGTCAAAGCCATGGTCTTCCCTGTAGTCACCTACGGATGTGAGAGCTGGACCTTAGGGAAGGCTGAGCGAAGGAAGAGAGATGCTTTTGAGCTGTGGTGCTGGAGGAAAGTTCTGAGAGTGCCTTGGACTGCGAGAAGATCCAACCAGTCCATCCTCCAGGAAAGAAAGCCCGACTAAAGCTCACTGGAGGGAAGGAGACTAGAGACAAAGCTGAAGTACTTTGGCCACATCATGAGGAGACAGCCAAGCCTAGAGAAGACAATTATGCTGGGGAAAATGGAAGGAAAACGGAAGAGAAGCCGACCAAGGGCAAGGGGGGTGGATGGTATCATTCAAGGGACTGCATCGACCTTGAAGGAGCTGCGGGTGGCCACCGCCAACAGGGAGCTGTGGCCTGGGATGGTCAAGGAGGTCACCAAGGAGGTCTTTCTTTCTTTAGGGAATTAGAATTGAGCAGTTCTAGAACATCTGAGAAGATCCACCCAGTCCATCCTCCAGGAAAGAAAGCCTGACTGCTCATTGGAGGAAAGGAGAGTAGAGGCCAAGATGAAGTCTTTGGGCCACATCATGTGAAGACAGGAAAGCTTAGAGAAGACAATGATGCTGGGGGAAATGGAAGGAAAAAGGAAGAGGGGCCGACCAAGGGCAAGGTGGAGGGATGGCATCCGTGAAGGGACTGGATTGTGTGCCGTCGTGCCTGGGGGCTATGGTTCTTAGTGAAAGAAACATGGACGTGGCATCTTTTGCCCAGGGGATTGCTTCTTGCCCTCCTTTAGAGAACTGGAACTCTCAAGGATCAAGACACTATAGATAACTCGAAATAGGCTTTATTGTTCACCATGAGTTATCTTCCTTAGGCATAAACTGGATATTCAAAAGGGGTAAAGAAAACATACATTACAGTCTTTGGAGTCTTGGTCCCAAGGAGTTTTCCAGCTGAGAAGCTTTCCAAGTTCCCTCTTTCTCAATGGCTGTGAATGCCTGAACATTCACAACCCCAGTCCAATGACCTATATTTGAAGGCACAAAGTCTTCCTCTTGATGCCAAAGGACTGGTTTGAAGGCGCTCAAGATTCCTCAACGTCGTCCAGGGTGATCTGAACGTGAAGCATGAATCTTAAGAGTAGAAACTTAAGAATTGGTGATGAGAGATGACTTGATGGAGGGCTTTAGAGCCAAGCTTTTCTCACATCCATCTGCTGAATTGTCTGATGGTAGAATGAAAAGAAAGCACTGCCCTCTTCCCCAAGAAGGGGTGGAGTCAAACAATTGAGCAGGAGGGGGCAATTCAACCAGTGCAAATTAACATTGATTGACAGCTATAGGTAACCAAACCATTTAGCTATACATTCACATACAAGTGGGGCCAGACGTGCCGTCACAGATTGACCTTGAAGGAGCTGCAGGTGGAACTCTGGCCTGGGATGGTCCAGGAGGTCACCAAGAGTCAGAAGCAACTGACTGAATGAATAAACAACAACAACACATTTCTTCCTTTAGGCCCATGGGTGTCCTGGCTCTGCTGGGCAGAGGTGGCCCTAGGTAATTTTCAATGGTAAGCAAACAGTATTTTGGCGCCCCCCACCCCAACTCCTCCAATAGTTGATATATATTTTCTTTTCATCGTGGGAGTTCTGTGTGCCATATTTGGTTCAATTCCATCATTGGTGGAGTTCAGAATGCTCTTTGATTGTAGGTGAACTATACATCCCAGTAACTACACTTGCACTTGCTCCCTTGCCTGGCCCGCTTTGGGTCCGGAGGCATGCCTGAAGACCCCGACATGTGCACCAAAAGTCACCTCTTCTCCTGACTTTCTCCTCAGCCATTGGGACCGAGAGAGAGAGAGAGAGAGAGGTGGAGATGCCCACCTTTCCTGAAGGTAGGCGCAAAAACAAAGGAGGGAGCGGAGGTGGGAGATACCTCCAGCCGGAGGGGCTCTCTCTCTCTCTCTCTCTCTCTCTCTCTTGGTCCCAATGGCTGAAGAGAAAGTCAGGAGAAGAGGCGACTTTTGGTGCGCATGCTGGGGTCTTCAGACACGCCTCGGACCCAAAGCGGGCCAGGCGCAGCGGCTCCACCCCTTGGCCCACCCGTGGATTGGGGAGAGGAGAGGAGGCGGGTGGAGTGCCGGGGGATCGGGAAAGGGAGCTGGTCATGGGGAAGGGATCGAAGGCGGAGAACAATTGAGGGCAGCGAGGCAAGAAAGCCGGGGCTCCCCCCGGACTGCTAGGGCTGTTGTGAGCTGAGGGGGCGCTCCTCAAGTGGCGGTCGAGGGGCATTTACAGAGGCCCCTCTGCGCCCCTGGCAAAAAAAGTGTTCTGCGACCGCTTACTTCGCGTAATGGATGAGCCGCCCTTGCTGCTGGGGTCTTGACTAAACTTGTAGGACAGATATTGAGGATAAATGATGGTGGTTTCTGCCCTTTATGTACTGTTGACAACCACTGGAGCCTCCTTCTCCATAGTGCAGACGAGGCCAGACGACCCTCTGTTGGGAGGGATTGGACTGTCCCCTCCTGCCTGGCAGAAGAGGGTTGGGCTAGATGGCCTTTGAGGGTCCTTTCCAACGCTAGCATTCTCCAGGATGCGTAGCAGCGTGTCCTCCTGCCACAGTCTCCAGCAGCCCCTCCTCTCTCCCCCGCCAGCCTCCTTGAAGCCAAGGACCAAATTGGGTGGTTGGGGGGGACTCACACCTCTCCTGCTGCCCCCCCCCCCTTTGGAATTGCCTGGAATCTGGGCCAGGCGTCCGGAGATAATTTTATGGGCGGCATTAAACTGAGTTATGAGGTTTTTACAATCCAGCCACTTATGAGAAATCTATTAACAGTAACTGGCCGGGCAGAATCCCGCTCGCTCAGTGGGCGGCCGAGGCAAGGCGGGAGGGAGGGGTGGGTGGGTGGGTGGGGGGCATTAATTGGGGCCATCCGAGAGGGGCACCAGCAACCCCCCCCCCCCCCGTTGCTCCCCGCTTCTTTGCGGCCTCCCTCCTCTGCCGGCCGCCCTTCCTCCTTGGCTATTTTCTGCTAAGAATCAGCAAGTTGCCAGAAAGGCAAGGCGCCCATTAATCGGCTAATGAAATATGAAAATGTTTATGGGCCACTCCATCTTCCAAACGGCAGCAGCAGCAGCAACGGGCCCATCATCCCCCTCCTCCAGCACACGCCCCGCTCCCTCCCCTCCCCTCCTCAGGGATCAGCACATTGGAGGGGGCCCATGCGCCAGATCCCTCCTGTTAGGGGCCGGTTATATCTCTATGCGCCCACAAAGGCTTTATTTGGGTGGGGGGCTGACCAAACCCCCCAGCATGGCCCCATTCCCTCCCTAAGAAGGAAAAAGGGAAGTTGAACAGACAGGAGAAAGAGAAAAAGAAGAGCAAAGAA